ACAAAGTAATTTGAATCGCGTCTGACTGTGCCAGGCCCAGTTACCTGCAGCTTGGCCCTCACAGGTTGAAAACATGCGCTTACATGAACCCATATCCTAACAGAAAGTATCTGTCAGTGGGATAACCATCGAACATACTTTTGCTAAATGCGAAGCAAATGAGCCCACTTGTGCGCCGTTAGATGCTTGGGAAACACTGTCTCTGTAAAGGATGACATTAATTTGCTAAAGTCGAGCATTAAGTAACCTGGATTTAGTTTAGTGCGAACCTTTAGAATTATATCTAGTATGCCATCCACTAACTCCAATGTCGACATTTATCCTAGTTGAAAAGGTGCCAGTATCGATCGTCGGAGTTTGCAAGTATCCTGGCTGCAGTATGATCCATAGCTACTGTAATAATTTTAAAAAATCTGTAAGTTTTCTGTCATGGAGTTATATTAATGCTGTTTAGACGCAGTACATAGTAAGTAGGTTATAATTGAGAGGAACGAGTAGGGATAGGCGTTTTGTAAAAATATGCAGATAAAACCAACATTGCGAGACCAAAACAACTCCTTCTATCATATACTAATTTAAACTATTAATTTCCGTAAACCGGAGGACAGGTTTTAGTTTTATCTATATTTTTCAGGGCAGCATTTTTGAGTATATACGCGATTCGAATACGAAAAAAAGTCGAGTAAGAAGTAATCTTTTTCGGAGTATACTTTGTATCTGAGGCTGGAAAACACTTAACTAAAGGTCAACGCGTTGTCCCGTAAGAAATAATTTGGGATTCTGTTTCACGATACTTAGCATTGCAAGAGCATTCAGTCAAGCTTCCGTATGCATTAGTCCGGTTGAAACTGTCGGACTATCGTTAATGAGTTTTCATACACGTGCGTTTAGTTGTAAATCTCCTCACTCGTATATCAATATCCTGAAAGAACAGTTTTGTACGAACAGGAAATGTCATCTGGGCCGTTTCCTTGGATTACATGGAGCAAGCTGGAAGTGGTTAACAATGAAAATCCTTCACTTTGGTGTCACAACCTTTACTATCTGTAATCCTGTCTTGTTGACCACATCAAAATTAGAATAACATGCTCTTAGCAGTTTTGACGAAATTTTTATCTGTTAGCGATGGTCCATATAATTTCTTTTATTTCGTTAGCTAAGTCGCGGATGTGGGCATTTTTTGAATCACCTGTCATTTCTTTGGATATTGAACACCATAGATTACTTCATATTTAAAATAGAATTGTCAACCCCTCTATGAAAATATTTACATCTCTGAATTTTTCCTCTTTCCAAAGCGCCCATTCAGATGTAAGCAAATTTGAATCATGTATCTCTGTCGTTAGACATTCCTGTACTACCTACGTCAGTATGGATTGACATTTTGAAATAAGTGGGCGAATCGGTCTAACTAGACACCTGTTGCCATTAATAGTAAGTTCAGTTATAAAAAACATTTGTGTTCAGTAGAGAGATTGGTTCGTCTGGGCCATATTCAAAATGTCATGGAAGTAGGCCGTGAAATGTAGAAAATTCAGTAAAACATTTCTGCAGCACGTAGAATAGCAAAATAAAAGGAAGCTAACCGTGCAATTTACGAGAGACCATTTTCCGGAGGTTACAGCGTGAAAAACCATGACTGACTTTTATTTTTTCGCGGTCATTATGGCATCTACACATATTTTCAAAGTAAAGTATAAACCGTTTCGTCAAAAACCATAACTTTTCTACTCAAATACGCCTATTTTGCATGTTGTTGCGTACTGTTGTTCGGAAAAGACTGAGAAATAATATTGGGATGCTCAGTTTTAAACTTTCTCAGACAGTAACCCGCTAACTTAGGGTGAAGCTTTCAGGAAAAAATTTTTGGACTGAATGGAAGAATATTACCGAGCCTACTACAACTGTTTTAAACCAACCGTCAGACCGAAAAACGAAATTACATCTGGGCTGCTAAAAGGCACAGTTCTGTTGTCTGTTCTAGTGCCCATCCCCTTTGCGGTCCTTCATCAAGACCGCTCAACTAAGTAATAGATTGCGTCCTTCAGTATGCGGCCTAGAAATATGTTCACTCAAAGTTCTGATGATTACCTCATGTTTTCTGATCCAAGATAAGCTGTTTTGTTATTAAGACTCTCGAAATAGTGAATAGTTTCTGTCACCTTAGATTAATTAACGATTAAATAGAAATTCAAATCATCCACAAGGACAAGCCCTCCCACTGGTTAAGTCGAAGCCCCTGGACTCGGTGTAAAATTAACCATATCATGATACCAACAGTGCAGGAGGTTTTTTCAACACAGTTTGCCTGTTCAAATGGAAGTTATGCGTCGTGGACTGAGAAACTATTTGCTAATTGAAAGTTCTTCGACCGCCGCTTTGGAGTTCATATATGAGGGAAATCACTTATCAAATACACACTCTATACTTGTAGATTAGGGCGGGTCTGCTGTCTGTTATAACCAACTGAAAAAGAGCTCATCTGAAGGGTCGGCTTTTATCAATTCTATCGTAGTTAACAAAAAATGAAGTCAAGGACGAGCCGAAGGAAGGCTCATTCCGACCACGTGATGTGTTCGTACGTGACCGGTGTGCCGAGTTGCCTTAAGCGGCCGCTCTCTACCAGTTGCGATGAATGAGGACCACTCATGAAGTTGGCTGCATCGCCCATGATGAATGTTGCAAATGCAAGCAAAGTGAGCAAATGGTTTATTCGAACTTTTGTTCCCCAGCATACATTGAAAAAGGCTAATACAATATCGATTGCTGGATAGTATACAGATGCATCTGCATCATTGCACTTGAGCCCTAGTAAGGGTGAAGATTAATTTTTAGCATCGGCGCATAGGTCTTTATGTTAATCGACCAGATAACTGGGGGATCATCCCTCATTTCTTTAATAGGTAACGATACGAAAGTGAAGCAGGTCCATTATCTTTCCTAAAGATGATACGGCAGATATTTTAGGTCTCATAGTCTTATTGAGTTGTTGATTTCTTCATTGTGCATTTTCTTCAAAAAGGCTTCTTACAAAAAGGGACGGGAAAGGAAAATAACCTGCCATTAGTTTTACTCCTATAAGCATGATTCAAAACTTTTGTCGGGCGAGTGGTCCATTATGAGAACTATTGGAACGAAAGGTGTCGAAACGTTGGGAATTATCTTGCAAGTACAACGAAAATGAAATATTTTCCTACATCGTTTCGGATATGATATTAAAAAATTTTTATCGACGGATTTCTTGAAGTATGACCAGTAGCAAGGCATTGAATAGCTAGTTCACCGATATAGTACAGCTACATTGCACGCAAACATATACTTTGAAATTAGGCCATTGTTTTTGCAAGTTCATTCACTTGTGTGGGTATTTAAAATACATGCTATTTCATTACTTTCGCATTCCTCCTGTAAACCTGATGTACTCAGATCACGGTCCAACGTTTGGTTTTGATTTCATATCTTATCCACAAATTTTGCTTCGGCCGAAGAACCCATGAATGGCTTATATTAACTCATCCACCTTTACTGTATTACCTATAGTGGAGAGATTGAACTTTGTCTTGTAGTACATCAGGGCATTCTCCTGACGATAGAAGACTATTAATTGAAAAGGTTTGCTTCAAGATCACCCCCAGATCGGGGACACTGGATGAGTTAACTGGGATCTGGATTCACTAAATATAAAGGCAAGAGCCCTAACGGTGGGCACCAGATTCCTGTGAAATTAAGCTTGTTGCCAACTCAAACCTAGGCCTAACTTTTAGTGCGAATTTTTGCGCAGCATGCACACTGTTTTGTTTGCAGTCAACCTTCATTCTTATAGTTAGCCTCGATGTGGGCAAATAGTCCAGTCATGGCCTTTTGATGGCATGGTCGTTATAATTCCTGGTCTTTCTGACCACACCCTCTTCTCCTTCGGATACTTTAAAAACCCCATTTTCGATTAGTATTCTCCGCTAGATTTACAGTCACACGGTCAGATAAATTGCTTTGCTTTCTAGTTTGTTCGATTTCCAGATGAATACTCGAAATAATTGTATAGCGCCTACTTTTCTTCAAGTTGCTGTTCGAGCTGCGAGACCACTGGCAACTATTCGAAAGAGGTCAGCTGCGACCGGCGCCAGTGATGTGTACCCGCGCTCTATAAAGAAATATATGGCCATCGTCGAGTCTCATAATTTCTTGTGTCATTTTTTTCAGAAAATTTGAATTTTTTCCCGATAGCCCTGTCAGATTTAGTCCATAAACGGTAAAATTGCAAGATATTAACAGTGCCGGTATTTTCTACATAAGTCCCAGGTTGTTTAAACAGTCTAATATTCAGTAGGTCTTCTGCGACTTGCTAGACTCTCACCACACAATCAAATCTAAAAAAGTCACAGGTCCATACCAGAAATAATTCTGAATTTTATCGGTTATCCATTCGTATGACTCAGATCTGGATATTCATACTCAGTTAAAAAATACTGTTTTTGTAAATTGGTCTGGTTTTTCCTAAATATTGTCTTTGTGATGAATGATAGTGATGCAAATGGGACTACTGACGGCGCTCACTGCAGTAATATTAGATCCTACATGCACGAATATCAGACGAAGTTTGGATTAGGCTACAAGGGATGTAAACTGTCAGGCCTAGTCAACCGCAGTCTGTTCATTGGCAGAAATTTGCGATTGTTAAACCGGAATTTCAACGCGCCGAATACCTCCGTGTAATTGAATAATGCTGCGCTGGGGACTTGCAACAGCAAGTTTGTCAGCCCACGCGTCAAGCAGATATAACTTGATTAGCAGCCTAGTTCTATGCTCCTGCAGTAGGCATTAGCACACAGGCAAGAGACAGACTCACTCGACCCTCATTGATTCACAATGTATTCGTCAACACGCACCCAAGCACACATTAACGTCACTTAGACGAGTGCGCCAGCAAAGAAGCAGACTTACAGAAAGATCCCGTTCTCTCAGAAACTGTTTTCGCTGGTGGTGGTTGTAGCAACAGCAAAATGGCAGGGTATCGCGGACAACAACGAGTGCGACAGCAAAAAGTCTTCTACCAATGTGAACCGGAGGGCAGTTCGAATTGTGTCTGTCTTGACAGGAAGTTCATCGCCACGCAAGAGCTCCTTCCAGTGGAAGAAGTGGAGCGTCTCGCTAGCTCTGTGCTTGCGGGCAGTTGCGAAACAACTCCTCTGACGATGATCGTCTACCCCGACAGACTAGCTTTACAAGTCCGTAAGCAAGGTACCCAGTTGCCGGAAATTTTCTACGACGACATTATTCAATTTGAGGCCGTTCCCAATATGGCGGACACCTACTTCCTACTCTCTGGTCGAAAGAGCAGTGTGGGAATGTACTTCTTCCTTTGGTTCAGTGATCCCAGCGTAGTGACAAAAATAAGGCACCTTATTACGACGGCAAATCCGAGTGTACGCCTCATGAGCGGTCCTACCCACGACAGGAATGGCACGATGAACAGTAGTCCAATAAACATCGGTACGTCAACAGGATCGCAAAGGCGGCTGTCTTCGCCACCGCCGTTGTCAACAACCCAGGTGTACCATCAACAACGATCAAACGATGCAAACAAAAAGGATAAGATTTCCCACCAGAATCTGTTCGTACAGTGGACCGGTAGACCGAAGACTCGGAGCCAACAACGTCAACGACCACATCATGAAAATACTTCTACCATCCCATATAATGAACCGCCCAAGCGAAACAGATCTGCATGGCGTCGCGGCAGAAGTGCCAGAAGCACTAGCACTAGTGAAAGTAGGAGCGGAAGCAGTAGCAGAAGCAGCAGCAGCACCAGCGGTGTCAATCAGGGTTCTGTCTTCTATCTTATTAAAAGACAACCGAGGAAATACTCGAATTCACCACAACCCATTTACAGATCCCAGAGCCACTCAAAGAATCGCCGACGCCCAGTTGTGTCGCCCATAATACGAGCGCCGATGAGGGAGCAACGAGATCCCATTTATGCAAGCATGCCAACATCCAGCCTCTCTAGGCAACGCAATGCCGGCAATCACGTTCACCAGCACTACGATTATCCTACTTCGGCCATTACTGTAGTTAATAACAGTCTCCAAAATGAGCGCCAGCCTAAAGTGAAATTCAACCTTTATCCGCCAAAACCCGTACACTACACCCCTCCAGAGTCACCCACCGGCTGGTCCGATGAGGAAACGCCTTACTCAGAATCTGATGAAGATTATGACGATGGGACCGCTAGCCTCATCAGCTCACCGCGCGTGACAAACAGGGTGCGTGTGGCCCAACTGTCCTCTTCACCGTCACCATCACGCATTCAACCCCCGCCCCCATCTGCGCACCCCATCGGCAGCAGGTGCGACGTCCATTCTTCCCGCAACATCAACCTGCTTGCCCAGCACGTGAGAGACGAAGAGTCAGTCCAGTCTGATGACAGTAGATCCTTTGACTCCCTCTACTCCGAGGATGCTAGCAGCACTCCGTACCCCACACACGGGGCGACCTACGTAAATGAACTGAGCCAGCGATTGCAGCAGCGACGTCTGATTTAAGCGTGAGAGAAGAAAAAGGAATTCAAGATAGTACTCCGGTTCGTTTGCCCAGGCAAGTGAGAAGAAAAGTCGCAGAAGTGTTCAGCTAAAACTTGAAAATAAGAGAACCAGATAACAACAGAAGTATAGGTTTTGCAGATTATTCACGCGAAACGCCCTCCTGCGACTGTGAAAATTCCTTACTTCATTATTCGTACTGTTCCCATTTTTACATCTGCAAAATGACTTTAGAGACATGCCATCAGGCTTACCAAAATTAGGTATGTACTTATGGAAAAAATATCCATGTTTTAACACCAGTTGCTTACATGAATTGTAGAAAATATATTACGATCCCTAACCTTCTTAAATACGGGTGCTGTGGTTTAAAGTAGTCAACGGGAATTATATTTGGAATTATATTTGGGGATTATATTTGCATCTCGAACAGTAGTACGGAGTCTGTATAGTTAAGGCACTGCTACGGTGTAGTTCAATAGCCTTAACTGCGCTTTTGCACATTTCAGATGTTTTTTCAGTAATTTTACTTCCCCAAAATTAGCGCTTGAGGCGTTGGGGTTAATTTGTGTTGGCTTAGGAATCTTGTTACTAGCATCCAAATTTGCTGTATATACTTTCTGCATTATCTGCTATTTTTACGGGAAGACTGCAGCGAATGTTTTTTGTGGACTCATATCATTGAGACAAGTCCAGCTTGAGTAACACAGCCCAAGAAAAAAACGCAGTATTACAAAGTAATATTATACGTAGTATTACGAAGAAAATGCATCATGGCAATTGAGTAAAAGCCCACAAAATCGGGGAAATTCTTTTAAGCAAACTATAGCATACTGCTGCTGCCAAGTCCAAAAGTTTCCGGACGCAAATTTTCTTAGATATTGATAAATTTGATTGATACTCGAGGAAGTCCATCCTGACAAATCTGTGTCAAGTTCATTCGTTCATTCCAAAATAAATTATAAAGCAACAGGGGTTTCGAAAGACTTCGATTATCCAGTTGACCCAATTGTGAAAAACCAAGCAGCCTGGATGGTGTTCGAATCCGCAGCACCAATTTTAAGACCTACATATAGCCAACGCTCAAGCCACCTGAACTACAAGGTCCTGCCCGGCAGACCTCGGTATGCCTGAGCAGAAGATAATGATTGAATGCAATCTCAAGACTCTGCATATTTTGTTTATGGAAAGGCGCAGTAGATGGACTAATTCGTGAAATTTTAAGCGAAACTCCTAAACGCAATTTAGACTCGAAAAGAAAACTGAAGTGGGGTTGTAATATTAATTACTGTGCAGCACAATCCCAAGGTATTTCAGTCACTGCAAGATGCCAGATTCGAACGAACCTCTTTCCGACCGCCAGTAAAAAAAACACTGTAAAAAACGACCACTTATGCAGCATGAATGTTTCCATTGGTATCCGATGCCCTTACAAATCCAAATATAGTTCATAGAAAACGCCCATAAAAACATGCACTCTTTTACTTGTTTGGTAGACAGTTAGGTCCGTTTTGAATTTTTTGCTTGAAGGAAGGGCATAAGAAAAGACGTTTTTGCATACGTTTTCTGCAGAATCTAATTGAATTTATAAGGACATCGAAGATGAATAAAAAAAAATTATACTCCGTAAGCAGCCATTTTTACGATGTACTTTTTGTAAACGGCCGGAATGAAAGTCGTTTAAAAGCTGGTATTCTGGTGTTATCGAAATACCCTAGGATTATTCTGCACTTTAATTAAGATTTTAGATCTATTTGAGTAATGTTTTCAAATCAAAGACAAAGTTCAGAATCCCGGTCAACATGTCATGAGATAGGTCATCTACTGTGTAAAATCGGATTGGTCAAACATTGCACAATAGATTCACCGAGCATGGCAGTCTGCAAACAAATATCTGCCTTACGACCTTCACAACCATGCTGGGGTTAATTAGTCCACCTTCTACAGTCCTTTTTAGCAGAGTTTTTGAGATTAAATTCTATCTGAGGTATTCTGAAAAAAAAATCGAAGAAATAGCTTCTCTGTAATACAGTAATAGATTCCTCAAATGCAGTTTAATTCAAAGTACAGCATTAGATCGGACATAGTACTACACACCTACGCTATATATCTGCCAATAAAATTCTTACCCTTATCTGTATAGCTATTTTGGCTCAATTATCATTGCTTGGTAGCCTGACACATGGGCGTTGTATTTTCTCACACAAGCTGGGGTCCAGTAGTTCTAATAAGCTTGGTCCTCGGCCGTGTGGCTCATTATCTCTTCAGCCCTTGTACATGATATTAGACTTTAAAACATTTACGGGGGAACTGACGAGCGAAATGGGTCCAGAGAACCCTAAGAGGAAGCCGGTCAGGACCAAAAAAGACTGTTTGGACAGACTGCTCTAGTCTATCTTGCAGCCTGTTGGGCACCATCACACCGAACGATTAGCAGTCCGCATGGCAGTCAACAGAGCATGAGGTTGTGACGCAAGTTGTTGAGAGTGAAACTGGGCGGCCAGATTAGGCCCGCACCCAAGCTTGCGATCTTCTAGGGCCTGAGTTGAGCGGAACGGCCGTTGGGACAAAAGTCTTTCGGTCTCCTTTGATTGCTGCCGTCAAATCATCGCCCGAGTAGGCTCTTGACTCAAACTTTAAATCCAAGCGGAACGTCCGTACTACGTACGGTTATCTAGGATGATTGAAAAACGCTATTTTAGTGCGAATTTGAACTACTGATCTGGATTTCATCACATATCAACTTGATAGATACTTGTTTTTTCTGTTAGCCCATACGCATTTGGAAATGACACGTCTACTTAAGCTATGAGTTTCACTTTGTCATTTCATCTCCCAACTTTCTTTCCTTCCCCTTTAATTTGATTTTGGCACAATTTACATAGCATCTTGTCTAACTTCATAGAAGCCTACCTAAAAAGACAGGAGTTTTCCCGTTAAAGGCATTTTAACGCCGAATTCTTTTTATTTTTCAAGACGGATAGTCAACCAGCGACCGATCTCATTAAATGTCAACAGGAATTCTGAGGGCAATTTCGATTAGGAAGTAATTTTTAAGTGGACTTGTATAGTCGATTTTTCCGCAATACCATCTCAAGATCGTTCGGACAAGCCAGGACTCGGACTTTTTAATTTGCGCCATTCTGGCCGCCCGCCCATATATTACTTGATAAAAAATGACTATCTAGAGAGTAATATTCTTCTCATCCATTTCCGATACGTTCAAAAATCCAAAAATATTTTGCAGATGGCGTCCCCAATTTTTTTATTTCGTTCCTTTTGAAGAAATTTGAGTATTCTGCTAAGTTTTTACTCGAAAAATGTTATATTTGGGTGTCAGAATAGTTCTTAATTATGAGCTTCTTAAGACCATGATATTTTCCTTCAAATAGCATCGGATCCGTCCGTTTGCTGGTGCTCTTAATGGAAAATGTGACATGATCTGCGTCCATTGCAAATAACTGAGCCTTATATCTTACCTTCTTGATGACTGAAGCGGTCATTATTTTCGTTGCATGAAAAGTGCGTATTTTCTAGAGCATAAATCCCAAATTTAAATGCGACGGTGGATCGGGCTCAGCAATATTTGCAGATTGCTGGAAACCTTTTTAAAACATAAAGTTTCCATATAATCGACAACAAAAATCAAATAAAGCGTTATTTCCTATCTGCTGAACAAAGGCAAAGATTTTTTTGAGAATGATTTAATTCGAGCTTGTTTGGATCTATAAGGGCATCAAAAATGGATGGAAAAGATGTATACTACATAGGTCATCCTTTGCCCTAAACACAGTTTTACAGGCAGCCGAGACGGGACGCATTCAAAATCGGCACCCTGTCGCGACTGGAATATATTGCGATTATGCTAAACGGTAAAAAATTTTACGACCCCACTTAAGAAATCCTTCTTAATCAAAACACGTTTTAGTATTTCAGTTTATTTTTCATAAGACCGGCCACTGACTGTACGGTTCGTAACCTAGCAGAAGAAATGTCCTAAACTTTACAAACAGCTCTTGTGATACGCAGGTTGCCCATTCTAAATCCAAAGAAACCACCAACCTCCAAAAAGACATAGCTGGTTTATAAATTATTATTCCTTAGCTGTAAAGTAAATTGTTTTATTTGAAACCATCAATTCGAAAAAACAGCTTTATGACAGGTCAACCATTTAAGACCTGGTATCTTTGACGCCACATATGGAGACTATACTACGACGATAAAATAATGAAAAGCCGTATCGAGTACAACGTGTTAGAACTTCATTAACTGTCCCTTACTTTTAAACAGAGGGATGTTAGGACGTCAAAGAGACTGCCAAGTTGTCTATTGTGGACTAGTCTTTACAGTTATTATTGCAGAATACCAAGCCTTTGTTGCATTAAGAGATAATTTCTTGCTCTGTACCAGATTCGTTTGATAAGTGCGAAGAGCTGTTCAATCAGTATGAGTTCCGGGTTGCTGCTAGGAATAGAAATACGTCAGAGCCCGCAGGCAGATAGGTTGACCATAGTCTAGGGAATTAGATTGTTATCGTTAACAAAATTAGAATCTACTTCTTTTGGGCGGTGAACACGGCCACTGTCATGCAATATTACGGTGTCCATTCGACTTCGGTGAAAGCAATGGTAACCGATGGCATCTTTTACGATGCCGATTAACACCTCCCTGTTTATAATCTTCGTTGTGGACAGCCAGACATGTCGTTCTCCGAATTTGATGGTCATCCAAACCACCAGGGGAGTTCTTTGCAAATATGACTATCCAGGCCGGATTTACAGGCTTATCTAAAGATAAGACCTCATCACACAAGTAAATGCTTTTTAGACTAAAGCCCGTGATCCGTCAAAGCTAGAGCCAATAGAAAATGTTTCCTAATCAGTCTTTTACCTTAAAAATGACTTTTTATGGCGCCTTGTTGATGTTGGCCGAATTCTTTTATCCCTTTTAATTATGCGTAAATTGAACACTGACAAAAGTTTTCTGCGAATAGCCTAGAGAGA